ACCAATAGCAAAGCATTATTTCAAATATATAAATTCAGTGAAAGAAACCACTCTTGGAAGGGGATTAAACATGGTCTCTTTATCTGTTCAGTGACCAATCACAAGGTGACAAACAAATTCATCAGTTTATGTATAAAAGTTAAATTAAAACACTCACTCTCAAAGACTGCTCTGATTTCTCTCAATACACACATTCACACACACTTTATCTTAAACTCTAAAGGACATGATCATTCTACACAAATCTAGAATGACAAGAAAATTGGAAATTGGTATACATTACAATACAGTATGAAAAAAAACTAGTTGCACATGGATGGTATTAAACTATATCTTAAAACATGTCTCTAATATAACAATTCTACCTTCTTTTAATATTTCAGTCTAAACCTTATTACAAGAGGATATCGACATTGATTATATGGTCACCAAACAAATGCATCCATAATTTCTCTTGATTGCAGTTACCTTTTTGTTCAGCCTAAGTCTGGTTTTCTCTGTCTTCAGTTTTATAGGAGAAAGAAATCACAAAACAGTTCTCACCAAAGAGCATCCATTTCATGAAGGACCTTCCACCAATGAGACACTTGAAAATACAGTTCAGAGGAGAGTAAAAAGAAGAGATGGGATTGAGAAAAGGAAGGGAATGAAAACACATAAATGTCTCTTAAGAGGCAGTGAACTTTCTGAGCGTGATCACAACGAGAGCGAGAAGAACAGAGGCTCCGAGGAACACGGCGATGACGATAGCTGTGATGGCACCTGGCCCCAGCACAACTGAAACCAGAGATAACACACAATTACACATCCTAAGATTAACTTTGAATGAAACCAAGTTCTTTGATTAACCTCATATAACACTTTCGTAATTCTTTTGTAAGTTGCTTTGGATAAAAGTGTCTGCTAAATGCACAAAAATATAAAAGATATCTTCAGTATGCACATTTCAGTGGTAACTTTACCTTCCTCCTCATCCAGGGTTATTGAGTGTGTACCATCCTCATAATCATAGGTGTAGGCGTTTTCTTTGGGGTCTTGAAAAGGGATTTTTGTTGTCACATCGAAGCCTCCAGCGCCGGATAGTGTGTCCTGATTATCATTCTGCAGTGTAGGGGAGGAATCAGCAACTGTTTCTGATGGAAGATTAAAAAAAATTTGTCAGAGTCAAGGTAAATTAAAACAATATCTACATTTACATTTAATCATTTAGCAGACAAAAAAAAACAAATTAAATAAAAAACAGATATTAAAAACAATATCTGTTGTCAGAGAACATTTTTATAATGCTATTTTTACGAATGCAAATCATTCCACAGGCAAATAAAAATATATTTACAAAAAAATACATAAAACACACACACACACATATATATATATAAAGTAAGTTGATATATTTAAATAACTAAATAATAGCTAGAATAAATAAAAAGTACCTAGAATTATATATTTAAATAACTAATAGCTACAAGAATACTAAATAAATAAATAAATACATTTACAAAACCTAGGATGATATATTTAACTAAATAATAGTCACAACTAAGAATAGTAAATAAATAAAACAAACGAAAGGAATATATATATATTTAAATAACTTAATAATAGCTGCAAGTCAAAATAATAAATAAATAAAAATAACTTGGGATGATATATGTAAATAAGTAAATAACAGCTACAAGTAAGAATACTAAATAAAGAAATACATAAATAAATAATAACCTGGGATGATATATATAAATAACTAAATAATAGCTACAAATAAGAAACCTAAATAAGTAAATAAATAAATAAAAATGACCTAGGATAATATATTTAAATAGCTAAATAATAGCTACAAGAATACTAAATAAATAAATAAAGATAAACTAATATGATATATTTAAATAACTAAATAATATTTACAAGTTAGAATACTAAATAAATACATTAAAAAAATAAATAAATCAAAAGATCAATCAATCAATAAATCCATTCAAATCCAGCAGGTGTCATAGGAAAAAATGTTCTTAAGAATTTAAATAAATAAATAAAGTTGTTTTGCTGAATCTAAGGTGCCGCAAAAACAACTTTAATGTTAAGAATGTACAAAAATCTTGGTATTTGCTAAGGTGAGCTCCAAACGTTAAATGTTTTTTGGGGGGGGGTTTTCCTGAACATTAAGTCTGCAGGGAATGCATAGGTCTAGAGAGTGGCAAATGTTAATCACATTCTATATGACTCAATGAGTGTCTTTATGGAGGATTAGCACTCGCTTCCACTACACTCTTCTTCTCCTCGCATCTCTCACTAACATTCCACATCTCCCGCAGGCATGGAACAGCCATGCAACTTTTCTCACCTACACCACACTCACCAAGCCCAAAGCTTATTTCCTATGTTACAGCTTTCCCAAAGTTCCCAGAGGGCACCTTATGGACAAAGGTTCTGACCCCAAAATGAAGGGACAAAGACAGACAGAGTGAACATGGACAAACCGTGGGATACCTAGCCTGACCCTGCTCGAACAACCCAACGGCATGGGTCAAAAATGAACTAAAACTAAACTGACAAACATAACAGAGCACTCATTTGTTCACTGAAATGTTCAAAAATACAAGTATTTACAAGCAGCGGCCACTTATACCACCTTTCCATGCAACTAAACACTAAAATGCTCATATTCCACCCCAAATCTTAAAATAAAAAGTTAATATTTGGAGTCACCAAGTCAAGGATGGCCAGCATACGAGTATTTTTGATAATAGTCTGTTTGCTCAGCAACACACACTTTCCTAACTTGAAGCAGGCAGTAGGTACGGCACACCGGGGCGCGAGGCCAGCCATACATCAATGAGCCCTTCACTTGAGGGTACAAAAGGGCGCTTGTGTGGTCAGAGAGGACAGCTTGAGGCAGAGGAACCAACGGCCTAAACACAGCCAGTACACTGCAAGTCAAACAAGCTTGTTTATGAAGCCAGTCTGTGGAAAAGCACGCATCTCGGCGTCAGCGTGCGTAATCTGTTGATTTCAAAAAAAAAATATTTTTTTTTAATGTGTTTCTCACTTCATGGCCTGCTTAAATATTTAAGTACTGCTTAAACATTTGGCGAGAGGACAAGGCCAAGAACGTTGTCTCGTTTCTTGTATTTTAACGCACAACTGTGAGAGGACAACATGCAGACAGGTGCATGCGAATGACACAATCCTCCGCCACTGTGCCTGCGTCCTCATCTCACCGCACGCCCGCCGGGAATCTTCACACTCAGACAAATAACAGAAACGCATTAGGTTCATTTTATGACACTTAATATTCAGTAACATTATCGATTTGACTGCACTGACACTATCAGAGAACAAACCTCGAATTGAACTGAACGGGATAATGACGATCGTCTTCTGTAGCGGCTTTATAGCTGAATCGAATTTATTTCACAACTGTTGAATTTTGCAACAGTGGCACTATTACAGAACTGAATTGAATCAACATTGAACTGACTCGAGCTAAATAACGACACTATATAGACCAATTACCGGTTTGTAAACATTCAGGATGCGCGCGCATCATGGTTGCAGAAAACCCGGGAGAGATAGTCTTTACGGCTAGAGAATTTCATGGATACGGTAAAAAATAGTTAGCTTTTAAAAAGATTATGTTATATTGATTAGCTGTAATTTTCAAAATGTTCCCTGCATATTACAAGAGCTTGTCACCCAGCGATAAGCACTGTTATTCAACGAAACTGACGTTAGAGAGTGCGATAGTTACAGACCCGAAACAGGGGAGACCAGTGTTGCCAAACCCCTCCCTCAGAAAATCTCTAGAACCACCCTCAAAAGTCTCAAATTTTCACAAAAAGTCGCCAAATATGAAAACAAAGTACATACAGGTAAATTTGGTAAAGGTAAATGAAAGTAAATATATATATATATATATAAAAGTCGCAAAAGAGCGACCAGTGAGAAGAATGAGTCTAGAGCCCTGTCACCTCGTTGCCCGTTGACGGTAACATTGCTCAAAAAGTTGCCCCGTGTATAATCACCTTTATACAAATGGTAACTAAAAATAAATATTTTCATTTTAGTTAGTTCTGTAACCACTTTTTTTCAATTTATTTCAGTTTATTTAAGGTTTTATAGACCAATTATAGGTTTGTAAACATTCAGGATGCGCGCGCATCATGGTTGCAGAAAACCCAGGAGAGATAGCCTTTTTGGCTAGAGAATTTCACGGATACGGTACAAAATAGTTAGGTTTAAAAAGATTATAAATTATATTGATTAGATGTCATTTTCAAAATGTTCTACGCATATTACAAGAGCTTGTCACCCAGCGATAAGCACTGTTATTCAACGAAATTGACGTTAGAGAGTGCGATAGTCTTACAGATCCGAAACAGGGGTGATGTTTTTTGTGGGCGGAGCTTATCTGGAGGCAGAAAATGACGGTTTTCAAGCGGCAGTCTATTGAGCCATGGAATAAAAGAATTTAAAAAAGGTAAATATTTCAAAACTCTGACTTTATTCTCGCAATTCCGAGATTATATCTCACAATTCTAATAAGGAAAAACAACTCGTCATTCTCTCTTTTCCCCTCGGCTCTTCTGGCTTTTTTTCCCTCAGATTTGACAAACTCACTATTTTTGAGTAAAGTCCGAATTAGGAGATATAAACTTGCATTTGCGAGAAAAACAAAAAAGTCAGAATTCTGAGATAAAGTAAATAAATGTTATGTAAAAATGTTAATAATAAGGTTTAAATAATATTTCTAATAATAAAGTTTAAATAATATCTCATGCTGTAACTGTAGGGCTAATACAATACGTCCCCTATGAACAGCATATGTGAATATTATGTAGACCTATTGTTTAAATCGAATTTATGCTTTAAAAGTAGAGTAATCGTAGCAGTTTTCATCCATAGTATGTCCATTTAAACGTCTGCGTTTAGCTTCAAATGACGACAGTATTCTATAAAAATTATTTGCATTCCGATCTTGACATCAAAAAGCACAAAAATATTTTTTTCTTTTATTCCATGGATTTTACCCATTTACCTCCACTTGTTCCCAGTGTTTTTCTGCAACCACTATGCGCGCGCAGCTGCAAGTGACGTAACTGTGACGTCTACTCTAAATTGGTCTATAGAGCTGCTGAACTAAACTCATTTCATAATTGATGTGAACCAACTGAACCAGCACTGAACAAACTTGACAAGAATAATGAGACCATTTTAAAGCTGCTTTATCACAGAATTTGAATTTGTCTCATATTTGAAGTTGGCATTATTTATATTGTTTTTTTTTCCTGTTTATTACTGTGAATCTGTATTGTATAACAAGCTATAGGCTATATATAAATGTGACTGGACTTGACAAGGACTAGTCAACGTTGTTTCGCATTACAGAATTTGTTGTCCTCATGAATGTTTTTTTTACCCAGTAAACATGTAAAATAAAGCAAAAAAAAAGGTAAATTACATTAAAGTAATACCAACAAGCAGTCATAGTTACAGCTGAGGGGAAGCATCATGCATTAAAAATCCCCTCACACCTAAATTCACAGTCAAGTATTTTCATGTAGCCTAAAAGGAAAATCTTTAGTCTGTTAATATCTTCATCATAAAAGTTCTTCAACATACACTCTAAAAAATTAAGGTTTTTCCAGCAAGTAAACAGTTCTTAAAATAACCATTTTTTCTTAGTGCGAAGAACATTTAAAAATATAAAGAACCTTTTTATCGCTATAAAGTACCCTTTGTGGGATGGAAAGGATCCATGGATGTTAAAGGTTCTTCATGGAATGAAGAAGATGCCAGAACCTTTATTTTTAAGAGTGCATGGAATTTCTGGCAATTTGTCAGAACAGACTGTGACATCATGATCATCCAGATTTTGGAACCATTTATGATGCCATGATATCAATGCATTCACATAAGAAATATCAAGCAACTGTGCCATCACCACATCCTTTGGACCTTGAATGTGTTAAAAAAAGCATCATTACCTCATGTATTCTGGCTGGAAAGTATGAGATTGCCTTAAATAGTCATTTTATCCAACTTTATAAGCAGGTTTCTGCATTTCAATACATCTTTTGGAACTATTTTATTCAGCACTAAGAGATGAAGGTCATAAATGGCAACTTTGCAATTCTAATTAAAAAAAAATGCGCTTTTTGTAGCTGTAAAAATGAACTTTGTGCTCTTTGTGCATCTGTATACATGTCTTGTTTTTCCCTGGAGTGTAACAAACTATCTCTTTGTCCTTGTACGCACTGAACCCAAGACTAAATTCAGGTTCAACACCTAGTTGTGAAAAAGAGAACGTCTTGAGTCAATGAAGTCAGCACGCTTCTGTCTTGCACTTATGCCACTATAAAGATACTTGGTTCTGGCATAAGTTCAATGAAACATTTCAAATATGTCTTGAGCAACAAAAGAGGCTAGTGTTTTTTTTTTTACATTGAATGGATTAACAAAAAATTTTTTTTGTCATATACGTGTCATATTTTGATTTTGAAGCCCAAAGCAACAATCATACAACATAAGCCGTTTTGCAAATGTTCATTAAATAAGTTTTTGCTTTTTGGTTTTACGCATCCCACTTTCACGCTCAGGCTATTCATGGCACTGAAAGGGTCCTTAAAAAATCATGATGGTCAACAAGCCGAAAATGACACGTGTGCACAATTTGGCATTTTCAGACAAGGTTTTTTTTTTGGACATTCTTCAACATGGCCACAAAATAATAAACTGATCGACACCTCACATCAATACAAGCCACAAAATCATTCTCACTGACAAAAACTCCATTTCTCACCCATAGCTGCCAATAAATCAGAACCCACTGAATCTTTCCTAAGAACTCTATGAAAAGTCCATCACTGGGCAGATGGGAAGGATGTGATGTTACCTGACTGCACAAAAGCCATGCAGATGGCCAGAACGCCAATGAAGACGAGCCTAGATAAACCGCTGTAACTGCTACTGACGCCCATGGTTCCTGGCCGGACACTTCTGCTCACTGCCCCCTAGACTGGTACGTTAATGAAAGCACACAGAGAGCAAGTGAGAGACTGAGCGAGAGAGGCAGGGGTAGCTCGGTTTAGGTGGGAGGACTCTGTATAGACAGTGCAGACTTTTGTCAACTCTTCTGGTAACTGCCCACCCTCTTCACACCGGAATAAGTGAGTCTTTCCACTCCTGCAGCACGATGCCTTCAAGTCCATCAGTGGCCCAGGCCGCTTTTCTGTTGGATTTCAGATCATAGAGGTGGGTCAAGCAGATGACAGTTCAATTTTATTACAATTGATGCATTTAAGCTATGTGAAGCATCATGAAAGTATGGTCATGATTCAGTTCGATTATTCTGGCATGATTCATAATTACACCGAAGGGTAATTATGGAATTTTGACCCAAAAACCATGCAAAACGTGCCGGCCTCAATAGCTGTATTTTGGTTATGCAATTATAACACTTCGGGTATTACTATAGTCATTATAATCAATTATTAAAAAGTGGATAGTTCCAGTCCTGGATGGTGATGCAGTGTTCCAGCTAGAAAAAACACAATATATTAACAGCTATGGCCAACACAATTTCATAATTTGTAACCCTTTTTGTGTTTCGGCAAATTGGTAGCAAATTCATACAATCACATTTGTATGTTTTCACGTTTTCTGGTTTCACTCCAGTGATGCTTATGTTAACGGGTGGACCGTCACACTTTTTTTTTTTTTTCTAAAAATCACACATTTTCATATGATTAACATTATACAAATTCATACAAAAATCGCCACCTTGTAACATTTTTGTTTTCTTGAGATCAGGTTGGCTGAAGCATCACTGAAGCGTAACCAGATTGTGTGTAAATGAATGAATGCAAGTACAGTCATGATGGGCTCTTACTTAAATTCTTCAAGAATTTTTTCCTGCAAGACATTTTTGCACCCTGCCACCAAACTCTGAAGTTATGGAGACATCAACTGAGTATACAGTACATATCAATATTAGTTTTAGATGCTGAGCCCCCCCTCTGTAAACACCAGACAGGAACAAACTGCATGGAATAGTTTCTGAAGGGTCTTTTTGGCCTTGACGAGACCATTTTCTGCACACAACACTGGATTAATCAGTCATTGAATCTGCCTGCTTTACGCACTTTTCATAGAAAACGGTGAATTGGAAGCCTTACAGTCATGAGTATCATGATACATAATATACATATTGTGTGCTTTTAATGGTGGGATTATGTCCAATTCTAAACTACAAACTCTCAGACTATGAACTGTTGTCAGGAGAGCAAATTAAAAACTGGATAAACTGAAAAAACAAAACAAAATAAAACTTGCATATGACGCTGGTATAATATTAATAACAAATTTTAGTGTCTTGTAGCTATACTTTAAAAAAAAACATTTGCATTTAAATGTTTATTCTGGTTCAATGCACTTCAATTGTAACCGATTTAGTGTAAAGGACTACTTCTTTTTAAATATTGATGCACTAAAATATTTTCTGTGGTAATTAGGAACACGCTCAAGGATTAGGTCTAATTTTGACTTGAGACTCAACCATTATGCATGTCAAAAAGAAACTAAAGACAACCTGTTGATTTTAGGAAATAAACAAGAAACTGAACCCAAGTAACAGGTTAAACTTCCAGACAGGGCATCTATGAATTTCATGATTTTTTTAGTAATTCATAGCTACTGAAAATTAATTGACTGCACACAAAGAGGCACCGAAATACTTTAGAGTCGAGCGTAACAAGAAATACGTATATTATAGGCATTTCCAAATCATAATTGTAAAACTCCCTGAAACTTCCAGGTTTTCCATAACCGTGGGAATCTGCAATGTGCGTAAACATTTGCACAACCCTGCTTTGTGCATTACAGGCAAAAGCGTGCAGAACAGCCCACACAAGAGGCTGTTTGATTTATTCATCTACTGCAATAAAAAAAAAGTACGACTCCACTGGTTCATCATTTCCATATATTATAATACAGATGCAGAATTGAAAGTTTATTCTTTAAACAGCCTAATATTTTACAAAGAAACGGATAACTGTCTGTAACTTTCAAACATGTCCTTAAAACAGGACACTGTTGATTGCATTTCCTCGAGTCCTACGTTGTTATCGACGTCCGTCAACATAGGGGGCAGCAAAGCGGGAGAGGAGAGAAGGGAAGAAAATGGAAAACACTAAAAGAATGAGGGGAGGAACGAATAAATTAAAAAAGGAAATTGTAATGGGATAATACATAATTTTTTTCCTCTGCACTCCTTTTATTCACACTTAAAGAAACATCAGTCGGGAGATGAGCATGATCATGAGCAGACGCTCCATCTCAGTGGAGCGACACGGTGAAATCGGTTGACTCCTCTCTCCTGCAGAAGCAAGGCTCTCTCTTCCTTTTCTCAAGGCATTGCTTTTTTGGTTCTTTTCGTGGCCGTGGGGCAGCGCTGTTATTGCAACTGTGGTTTCCTCTGGATTAGGGAGGAAGAAAAACTTGCTGCCCCGAATCTACTCCAAAGCAAAGAATTGAGGATAAAAAAAAAAAAAAACTGAAAAGAGGAAAAGGTTTGAGAGAGAGAATATAAGGGACGCTGTTCAGAAGGGAAACAAGTCAGTAGGGGGAGCTTGTATATATTACATTTGTAAATTTTTTTGCATTATAATAAATTAAAAACTATAGTGGATATTATATATATCAGTGGACATTATATATTTTTGCATTTTTGTAATGAGAATTTTAATAATTATTGGTCTCAATATAAACAAAAAACTATTTTTAAACAATATATATCTCAATATATATTTGCAATAGGTTGACTCCTCTCTCCTGCAGAAGCAAGGCTCTCTCTTCCTTTTCTCAAGGCATTGCTTTTTTGGTTCTTTTCGTGGCCGTGGGGCAGCGCTGTTATTGCAACTGTGGTTTCCTCTGGATTAGGGAGGAAGAAAAACTTGCTGCCCCGAATCTACTCCAAAGCAAAGAATTGAGGATAAAAAAAAAAAAAAACTGAAAAGAGGAAAAGGTTTGAGAGAGAGAATATAAGGGACGCTGTTCAGAAGGGAAACAAGTCAGTAGGGGGAGCTTGTTGATCAGCAGGCCTCAAATGTCTTCCACTGACTCAATCGCTCCCATGTTGAGTCTCTCAGAGGAGGCATTGACAGAAAAACCTGGTTTTTTTCACATTGTAATGCATCCGGACAATTTAGTATAGTGTTTTTTATTTCTGTTATTCTCATTAGATTCTTTAATGTAAAACACCAATAAAAAATATGGTAAACACGTGAAAAAAAAAAAAAAACTTGCATCAATAACTGCTATTTTAATACCAGTGAGATTCTGTTATAGTATTAGTAGTATTTTATTTCAATTAAAGTTTTTTTCATGTAAACATTTTTTTTTGTATGGTTTTTGCTTTAGTTTTAATTATAGTAACCCTGAGCGATAATTAAACTTTTATATGAAGTTTGTTAAAAATAAGAATTTTAATGAGAATTTTAGGGATTTACCAGTCAAAAATAAAGGTCAATCCAAATCTTACTTGTCTGTGTTTTGTATTAAACTCTACTTGCATTATTTTAGTCAAATCAAACGGTTTTGACAGTCAACATGATTAACTTATCTGTGGCTCAATAATTTTCTGTAAGGTTCCCCGGAACTTTCCTTCATAGGAATTTGAAACACTGAGTAATTTCTCTACAAATCATATCAAGTTTTAAAATGACAAAATTTAGGAATTACTTTCCCAACACTCACCTAGAAGGCTCGGGTCGGCTCGTACCATCTTCTGTTTCTTCTTCTTCTTGCCTGAGGTGACAGTCTCAAACCGCTGCTGCTGGTGCAGGACTGACTGTGACACTTGGCTCAATCCCCACACAGAGTCCTGAGACACAAACACAGGGAGTTCAGTGAAAATGACATTAATACACACGCACATGCATACTAGTGCATTGGCACACAAACGCACCTGCTGTTTTTGCTGCTGTCCCTGCTGAGGTTTTTGCTGGTTAGCGTTCTGTTTGGCACGGCGCTCCAGGAACTGCTTGGCAAAGTCCTTGGCCTGTGGAGTGTCGCCCAGGTAGGCTCTCACATATTCGTGTACCTCGTACGGCGAGTCCACTTCCTTCAGGAATGATGCAAAGGTGGGGACTGTGTGAAGAGGGAAAGACTGATGACTTTCAGAAACCTTTACATAACACTTTTTTCAAGAGGTTATGTATGATATATAATATTTGTGGGTGCAATTTATTTCTTCATTACCATGTTACCGGCCAAATTTCTGAACACTAAACCTATGTTGTTTTATTCATAGTATTATTCAAAAGACTACAACTAGATGTTTTCTGAAACAAGACCTTCTTAACGTTAGAAGCCACAGTCTATTGACTCCATCACATTAAAATAATCAAGATAAAAAAGCGATGAAACATCAGAGAGGGAAGTGGTTTGTGGGAAGAAGCTTGCGCGTTGTATGAAACACAGATGCCAATAAGCATGATAGTTGAGGTTGAGAAACGTGTGTGTGTCAGAAACTCACCATCGAGGTTATTAGCTGTGTTGAGAGTGTGTAGAATTTGTTCACACCACTGCATAAAGCCGTCCTGGTTCTTATTGGCTCCCTGGAACAGTTTCAGAAGCTTCTCTTCCTCTTCCACCTTTTTACTGGCTTTACCACTGCTGCTATTACTGTACATGACAGATTATTTTACAAAATACAGCATGGAAACGGCACAAAAAGCTTTTTGCTTTTTTTTTTTTTGCAAGAGGTTTTATTGCACTGTTTAGAGCAATTCCACCTTTTTACTGGCTTTACCACTGCTGCTATTACTGTACATGACAGATTATTTTACAAAATACAGCATGGACAAAAAGCTTTTTGCTTTTTTATTTTTTTTTTTTTGCAAGAGGTTTTATTGCACTGTTTAGAGCAATACAGACAATAATATGTGTAATGGTTCACCTGAGGTTAGCGTTGTCCTTGTTTTTCTGATTGTGGCTCTTTCGTGTGGCCTGAGGTGGGGTGGCCTCCTTTACTGCTTCATCCCAGAAGCCAATATTAGAGTTCTGAGCATCACCCCAGACACTGCTGCTGTCCATCATCCAGTTAGAGCCGACATTATTAACAGAACCCCACACTGATGAATTGAGGGCCTAGACAAGAGACAGAGAGGTCATGCAATCTATTGTACTACGACTAATGCACTCAGATCAGATATTTTCAAAGTTTTAAAATCAAACATAAGATTAAGAACATTAAGATCTGCACAGATTATTAGACTGAGGCACACGTTCAGCTGCAAAATAGGGTAAGTGCAAGTTTAAATACTCAAGACATTTTATTCAATACATGCATATGCATTAAAATTGCACTAAAATATCAGCACATACAAATTAGAGGTCAGTCCATATTGGATTTTGCTGAAACTATGATAATGTGTTTAAAGAAAGGCAATAAAATTATTATTGTGCCAATACTTGTAAAATCTTTATACTGAATTGAATGATTTCAGTCTTTCCTTCCGATGACAGGGTGGTCCAGAAATTGAACACCTAGACTTTTGTTATGCCATTTAAGATATTTAAAACTTAGGACCTTAAAATGACATTAAGAATTTCTAAGGACCTGTGGGAACACTGAATGTACTTCTGACACCCACTTCTGAGGGTACTATAACTATAGGCTGCTCAAAGGATGTGTAACTCACCACTCGGTTCTGTGTGCTTTTTTGCTGGGTAACGGTTGAGTTTTGCTGCTGCTGCTGTGGTTGTTGCTGCTGCTGCTCCTTCCGTTGTTTCATCTGCTGCGCTTCCTCTCTCTGGATTTCCAACAGAGACTTGGTGGCCGCTGGCTGCTTGGCCACGTTGCCCCAGCCTGAGAGCTTCGCCTGAGGTTGCTGCTGCTGGGCCCTCTGGAACTCCTGCAGCTGTCGTCTTTGCTGCAGGGACGAAGAACAAAGAAACGCACTAAGGACGAGATTTGTCATCTGCTAAGTGTTCTCATATCTCTATGAAATAGTTTTTGGCTCCTGCTTGGTCACATGGGATCCTGTTGTAATTTACAAGAGAAAGTGAATGCTGGGGAAGAAGAATCCCTGGCATACCTCTTCCAGTGTCTGTCGTTCTCTCTCCTCCTCCAGTTTCTGGATTTCAGCAAGCGACAGGGCATTTTGAGACTGTGAGAGGGTGCTTGCTGTGGTCGACTGCTGACCCCACTTAGAGGATGAAGGGAGCTGGGAACATACACATGAAAAACCAAAATACAATAACTGGGTCATTCAACAAACAAAAAGATGTTTTCAGGTAATGCACCAACAAAGTCACCATCATAAATCCCATTTTTTGTAAAATTAGCAGGCTTGTGATCAACTAAGCACAAAAAAGAAGGAAAGTCGGTTCTCTCTATTCATAATGACTATACAGTATAATAGTAATAATAATAACTATTATATTTATGAGAATTATATAAAATTAATCAATAATTATATTAAAATCAATCATTACATTTGCTATAATACTATTGCACAGTAAAAAAAAAAACAATTTAATAATCGCTGTAAATTAAACAATTTAATAACAATAGTAATAGTTATTTCTAATTATCTGCAGGATGTGCCACCTTCATCTGCGCGAGCTGCTGTTGTTGCTGCTGCTGCTGCAGTCGACGGAGTGCCTCCTGCTGTTGCTGCCGCTGCCTCTGTAACTCCTGCTGTCTCTGCGCCTCCTGCTCGTTCCTCTTCTGCTCCTCCTGCTGTTGCCTCTCCAGTGCAGCTGCCGCAGCCTCCTCTTCTATCCTCTTCTCTTCCTCAAGCCGCCTCTGAGCTTCCAGTTCTTCCTGTTTCCTCCGTTCCTCTTCCTGCTGGAAAATATTAAACAAAAAAAGATCAATAAGAGCACTAAACCATAACAAATGCTATTCCATGGGCCATACATTAGTGATTTTACATTGGTTTAGGGGTGTTCTTATTTCTGAAACAAAGCTCTTATTAAACATCCTCAATTGCTTGTAAAACCACTAAGACTGACAGAGTAACAATAGTAGGCACAGACGAAATTACTCATTGACGTCTTGTAAATATTTTCATATCCAATTTAAACTTTTTGTCTAAATAATCTTTGGTAATTGCCCAACAATTGTTTTGAACGTGGCTCAAACCGTTTTAAATCCATTTTATAGCAAATGTTAATGCGCAGGTCAGTCTTACATGCTTGCGGAGGAATTCTTCCCTTTGTCTCCTCTCTTCCTCTTCTCTTCTCTTTTCCTCCAGCCGACGGAGTGCCTCCTCTTTAGCTAACCTTTCCTCCTCCTCTTTCTTCCACCGCTGCGCCTCCTCCTGCTCCCGCTGCCTCTGGAGAGCCTCCTCCTAAAGAGACACAAATACTGCATTAATGCCACTGAGCATCAAAGAACCAGCCACTTATAATTCTGACTAGTAATGTGACTAGTTCAGCTGTGTAAATATCACATGAATGTGCCAATTACCTCTCTATGCAAGTACATTAAGAACAGTTTCCGCAACAAAAAGTGGAGCGAGTGCTTGTACGACAAACTTATGCCAAAACTATCATTCCTCTATATGGTACCAATCAACATAAAGCATTGTATGTGAGCCTCAAAGTGCATTGCACATTTTCTCTTCTCTCCTCACCTGTTTGCGCAGTGCCAGCTCTTCTTCCTCCAAACGTTTCCGCTCCTCCTCTTGTCTAGCATGCAGTGCCTCTTCCAGCCGCTTCCTCTCCTCCTCTTTCCTTTTTTCCCGAAGCTCTGCCTCTCGTCTCTCCATCTCAAGCTTTAGAGCAGAAGAGAAATTCCATTTAAAAATAAGGAAAAAAAAACACATTTACAAAATGCGATTTGGATCTGTGTTAATTAATACTATTACGATTTTTGTAAATATTTTGAATAATATTTTGAATTTGAGTTTTCATTTTTAGTAATTTTGAGTTTTTTTATAGTTCTAATTTTTGTTTTAGTTATTTTAGTACATCAAGTTAAACTAAATGAAAATA